TTAAATCTAGAAAGAAAATAATGAAAAATTCAAATATAGTAGAGATATTCAAATAAAAATTTCGATTTTTCAAGAAATTTCGATTTTTATAAAAATTATAAATATTTAGAACACATAATTTTATATAGAAATTATAGTAATCTAAAAAATATTAATTTTCAAGTATACCGATTTAGATCTATAAAAATTTCGATATAATTATTTTACTAGAATAAAATAGATAATTATAAAAATAAATCATAGATCTATCGCAACATTAAATTATATGAGATAGAATTTTATATCTTTCTCTTGAATCAATATATATATATATAATTAGTTTAATTGAGAATATAAAGAACGAAAATATTTCGGTATTCTTTTCTAAGCAATAATCATTTATTTATATCAATATTGGGATGAATCATGCCGCATCATAAATAAGATTATATTATTTCTGATTCAAATAGGCGCAAAAGCAGCCATAAAGCTGATATATACATATATATATTGAACCAAACATCGGGCGATATGGTGATTCTGCATTGTCGGAAGAAGTCTTTTCGTCGCCGCCGGTTCGATCGTGATCGTCCATGTCTTGGTGTGTCCTGCACTGGACGAAGATGCAGCCCAACAAGATGGTAATCACACTAAGTCATTCCACCTACATGTTGTCACTCGCAAAAGCATCTAAGATCTGTCCACGTTTGGAGCTCTTCCTTCCCAGTACCTTGCAGCAAAGCAGCGCTGTAGTTAAACCCCGAGTCTGGTCCAATGCTGCAAAACCACGCCGGAAGGCAGTGAGGGCCGTAGGGGTGATTGTCCTTGCTTTCGTCCTTCTGCGTTCGGGCGTTCTTTGCAGATCGTGCTTTCTGGACGCGCCGGATGTTTGCCGAAGATGTCTCTGTTAGAAGTAGTAGCTAGCATGTTTTCATGCCTGCCGCCTTGCTGCAACAAGCTTGTGTGTGCATGTGTGTCAGCAGTTCTTGCTGAGATGCCCATGGCTTCCACAGACAGTCTGTTACAGTTTCTCCACGTTCTGCTCTTCTTCCTCGTCCTACTAACGAATCAGGTAAACATGCATATGGTGAACATGCACACGGTTGCACGTCGTCGCGTCTCTGTCTGTGTGTGTGTGTGTGTGTGTTTGTGTTGCGGTCTTACAGCCCGCAGACCTCCCGGCACATGCACAGCCGTGGAATGCAAGAGTGCTCATACGGAAGTACGGAGTACTAATAACTTGTCAATTCTCCCTACTTTTGGAGATAGCACAACATGTGTTTCTGCAGCCGGCCCTGAAGCTCTTGCGACTCAAGTGGCCAACAAGTGAAGGCACAGCGATAACCGTCCGGAAAGATGCCGGTGCTGGAGTTTTGCGTGACCTGCAAGATACCACTCAGGGCGATTTTTGGAACTCGGACGTGCTCTGGTGCTCCACCCATCCGTTCAGGTCCGTCTCTTCCGTGCCTCGTGCTCGATGGAATCCGCCTCGAAGAGAACCTTATCGAAAGAGCACCCCGCAGTTGGATTCGGATAAGCATAATCGGTACTGCAACTGCGCACGTGATTTAAGAGACTTTCGAGCCAGCGGCCAAGGTGTCTTCGCTCGGCCTGGGACCGACACGGCTCCGAATTGGGCTGACCACAGCAAACACTTACTTCAAACTGGCCTGCACTCTGCAGACAAATGTTTTCTCCGAGCAGCTGCATCAACAGATAGCGTGTGAACACGATAGCTACTACAACACCAGCAACACGCTCCCATCCCAAAAACTGAAGCCTACAGGCTCTTGCGGCCACAAGAAACAGAGCGCTCAGACACACACGTCATGTTGCCATGCACCTCTCAGAGGATGCAAAGCACCTAGGCAGACATCGCCCTCCAGGACTCGAAGTGTGGGTTGTCCTGCTTCGAGAGCTGCTTCAGCTTGTCCTTGACGGTCACAGTGCTGCCCGCAGGCTTGGCACGCTCCCATGCCTCCTCCAATCCTTTCTCCTGGGCTGCGCGATAAAAGTTTAGGATTAGGAACACACTACTGAAGTGCTTATTTTTGTGTGACCAGTGCCGATCCGAGTTTCGTAGTCGTCGGGGTTGATGAGGCCATCAAGTGGGTCCTTAGAGTTGGCGAACAGTGGGTGCTCCCTCCAGGCTTCGTCAAGCTCCCTGGCCCGCTTGGTTCCTGGGACAATGCGCCAGAAGGCATCCTCCTGAAAGGAGTACAAGACGAACATGCCCATGGCAACCGCAGGGAAGACGAGTGTGGTCAAAGGCACCAGCACGGCGGCAAACTTGCGCTGATCTCCGTACTTCGCTTCCGCATCCTCCGCAAGCATCGTCAAGGCCGGCAAGGCCGCCGAGGCGGCCACAGCCGGGTTGAACTCACCGGATGCCTTCGGCTGCTGCTCCGGGCTGGGCACGAAGCAGTAGCGGAGGCCAAGAAGCAAAGCCGCTGCGATCAGCAGGCATCCCGGGCGCGACATTGCAACAAGTCGCGTGATCTGCTATCTGAACTAGGATGGGGGCCAGCGGCTCCGAGGTGCATCATGCATGTGAGCTGCGTGCGCTAAACAGGCTGAGGTAATGCCAGACTTCCGAGACGTCCCGGACTTTCAACTGCTTTCAATGCATCCATGTGGCAGGATCTCTTCCACCTCTCCGTGGCGAGACCAGCATCGAAGCAAAGCGCCATCCTCCCTTTTCCAGCCTCGCGCACGGCAAGTCGCGCTTTACTTTGATGCAAACGACAAACCTGAGTGAAGCAAACGTGTACGGCACACTGACTGCTACCTGCCAACCGCAAGTGAAGGCAAACGTGCGGGTCTGCCAAGTCAGCTCTGCATGGCAACTTTGCGTATGCGCAGTGCTTAGTTGATCCGAGCGAAGCAAACTTGTTGGACCAGTCTACTCACGCCAGAAATCATACAACACAATCACAAACATCTCTCCTCTGCTTTGCATCAGAACCCCTCATGTGTTGGACCCAGCGCATCGTCAAGTGGGCGGCCTGGGTTCACATAGTACCTGGGCACGGAGATCATGCAGAGGCATGCAAGATGTATCAGAGAAAAGACAGGCTGCATGGCTCTGGTGGTAGGTACAGGTAGTTCCATTTCTATCAGAGAAACACTGCAGAGATGCGTCTCCCGTCATCGCAGGGATTGTCAAGGTGCCGTCGAAATTGAGCCCCGCAGTCTGCAGGCCAACAGCTTCGACACGCTGCAACTACGAAGCTACTCCATGGGATTTCGAGGGCTGCCAAAGCTGCTAGATGGAGTCGGAAACTTGAGTTTGCGAACTGGCTTCTCCTGTTGCCTGGCGGGTAGACGCTGGCCATGACCTCTCCACGATCCTTACAATGCAGCCGTACTGGCATCAATCACATGCCATCACTCATGGCTTGTGCAGCGCAGGCTAGCAGAATTTAGGGAGATGCAGGCCGCCAAACTACACTGTGTCTTGCTCTGTCTTTAAAAGCAACCCATTGGCAAGGCTTTCCGTGTGGCACCAGCATAGCGGCACTCGTGTTCCTCATCGCATAGCAGCGGTCAGAGAAGTCTTTGTGGCAGAAGCAGCGGCAGTAGCTGTAGTCACGGTTGTCACTGGCGTCACCAAGAAAAACAACATTATTTTGATCTCGGCCCTTCAAGCCGCGGTATGCACTACTGGCAGGATCCTGCTACAGGCTGCACCCTGAAAAAAATCAATGCAAGCGCACCCCTTTCTGCCGCATGGCCCGAGGTTCCAAGTCCGGTCGCAGCGCTGCCACGGTCATGTCCAGCTGAGTAGTCAGTGGCCCCAGCAATGAGGTCCACAGTGTGGCCTGAATGACGCAGGCATGGAATCCGGCCAAATGCGGAAGCATGCGCAGCTGACTTGGGCTGCTGCAGAAGGTACTTCGAAAGGATGATCGTCCTCCTTGCCATGTCCCAGGATCTTATAGGCTTCGTGGTATTGCTCGGAGGACGGCAGCATCAGCAATGCGCCCATTTGACGAAGATGAAGAAGGAAAGCCTAGAATTGGACAAACGAAACCACGGCCAGGCTGCCAGCAATTTGGAGCCTGCTCGCAAAGTGGCCCTGACGGCACCTGCGAGATGTAAGGGGCGCAAATGAAGGAGGACCGTCCAGTTGATCACCCTCTGGGCACCTTCCCGACGGCAGCGCTTGGTCGGCTCGTTGACACCACGAGAACCCAGCCAAGCCACATAATCCTCAGCGAATTCTGAACTATCAACTTGCGGTGGATTCCTTGATATATTTGTGCCCAGCCCAGTCTGTTACTGGCCATTACTGGCAATCGACCGGGAGCGTGCCCTGGATTCTATGCACGGCTACAGTCTCAAAGTATGAGGTTCTGACGCTGCTTGTTCCATAGTTGCCCAGTTCAACAGCCAACAAGTGAAAGCTTAGAAAGTCACATCCACATCTCTATACATTATTCAGGCACGTCTCCCCACGAAAGTTGCGCTGGATGCCCCTCCCGTCACTGCCACCAAGAGCTCCTTGAGACAGAGGCCCCGTGCCATCACAACATTCAGGACAGCGCCAACGGCCTGCAGCCTAGAACCGGTACAATCTAGAACTTGCATGTAGGCTAGAACCCTGTTGCGAGGCTGCCCGAAAGCTCCCTAAACTATCGTCTTCCATAAGGTCCTCGTGCCATCCCTCCATCTGCGAAAAGCGCCAGAGAGGCTCTTCGCAAGGCTGCCGCTCTTCCACCGCCTGAGCACAAGAGCCATGGTTGGTCCCAAGCTAGTGGCGCCTTGGCGGGAAGATCGTACAGGAAGCTCGGGCCATTTCTAGGCCCCAAACCGAAGCTAGGAGAGCACAGACCTTCTGAACAACATCCTTGTTGCATGAAGAGCAAAACCTGGTTGCACGATGGTTCTCAGCATCTACCAGGGCACATAGACCGTACCACGCTGCCGCTGGGACCCGTGGCTCAAAGTTGCCCAAACCGAAGTCTTGTGAATTCTTGAAGCTTCCGCCGCTCCAAGAACAATTATCACACTTGCGGCTCTTTAATGCAGCAGGCAACCTAGAAAGTTCGGGATGACGCAAATGCCCGTGTGCTCGAACGCCTGGCCGTGTAAGACAGTTGGCGTGTCATATCCTCGGGAAAACTCCGTCCTTGACGCAGGTCGGTGAAGGTCTCAGCACCGACTGCGAGCCTCACGATATCAAGCACAGATGTACTAGCAGGAGGCCTGTTCGATATGCCTGGTCCGGGCCTATGGGCCTATATGGCTGAGGGTAGCATGCACCCAAAACCACTCCTGCCTGGTGGCTCATCATCATCTGCGTGCATGTTATGCAGCTTTGACTTTGATTTGTAGGGTTGTAGGCCATTGTAGGCTGTGGATGCAGACTGTTCCATGGCAAACGTGGTTTTGGCCGGGCTTGTGCCGGTCAACCTCGGCAAAGCCGCTGAGTTGTTAAGCTACGGTCCTGTCTCTTGAGACACTCTGAAAGACCACACCGGTGGCATCCGCGTTTGTGAAATGAAAGAGCATGAAGGCAACAAGCTTTTTGTGCTAGTCGTCCGAGTCCAAATCAACAGGGATGTTCCCGTGCCTGGCAGTTCAGGGACAACCAGAAAAGCTGGACTGTCATATGTTCCACTTCCGCAGCTATGGCGGCCTTGTCGGCGGGGCATCCAGAGCCACCTCAACATCACTGTCCTGCACTGCATGAGGGGGTCATGGGCAGAAGCATGCGCAATGTCACGAAAGCGGGTATGTGGCAGCAGTAACCGAGGACTGGCGACGCTCTTCTGTGCCCCGATCCTCTCCTCGTCCGGAGAGTTAGCTTCGTCGGCCACTGCCTCTGCAGTTGCAGGGGCCTTCCCTTCGGCGGGTGCAGTTGAAGCTGTCGGGGGCATCTTCGCCATTTCCTTCGCTTTGCGACGTGTGGCCTCGCAGAAGCTTTGTCCCTTGTGGAAGGCACAGACGCCGTCCTAGCATCTCAGCTGGCGGCAGGTTTTGCAGCACGTCGGAGCTCCGTCTCAGGAGCTTTACCTTCTGCATGCTAAGTGGCGGGAAGCCAAGGCGATTTCCAGCAGCCCTTTGCTTCCAGCCTGTCTGCAGCAGCTCGAGCAGGGGCCTGCGATGCTCCTTCTGTACCACGTTGTTGGACGCACGCAAATAGCACCGGCATCGCGAGTCCTCATTGATGTCGTCCAAACCCTGCAGAGACGCCAAGGCCTTACGGCACAGAATGGGTTTAAACAGACGCATCGGGAACACGCAGACACTAGCTTTCGTGAAGCGGTGAGCCGTTGCACCGCTTTCGAATTCCAACAGGCCAAGCGCCATGCACCGACATCCGCAGGGAGTTTGGCCACCACAAGCGCTGTCCAGCCTCAGCCAAGATGCCGCTGTTTGGGCTCGGTTTGTTTCTTGCCTGTCAACATGCTGGTCTGCAACTCCCGTCGTTTCAAATTCTGATTCACGGAAGTAGAACATGTTCGCTATGTCCACGCGCTCTCCGCTCGTGTATTCCAGTCCCTGGTCCTTAGAGAAACAAGCGCCTCGAAGGTTCTCCATATTCCGCAAACCGCAGATGTGGCAAGCTGGCTTCTGTTTCCCCAAAATTCAGTGCTGATTCAGTCATCTCGCAATGTCGTCTGAAAAAGACAATCGTCATCGCACCTGCTTGGCTCTTGATTCAGGATGGCCCCACTTCCCGCAACTGCCTAGCCATTCTGTATAAGTTTCTGTCATGCCTGAGACGCGTGCGTGCAGCTTCTGCCGGAAGCCACCTGGACATAAACACAAACACTGTGACGACAGTATCAAGAAATGGCGTCACCCCATTCAACCAAATTCCAGCATCTCGCATGTCTATCGGGTCGAATCCATCAATCATCACTGTGCTGAGGCCGATGCCACGATTTGTGATTGCCAACCTCGCCCGCCCACCAACGCAATCTTCCCAGCCAGCTACAAGCTCCCTTATTCTTCAGGAGGTCAATGCCTCGAAGCCAACGCGAATCTGCCCCACTTCCTGGGACGACAGGAAAACTAGTACTACGACGAAGACGACTGCTACGACGACGACGACGACTACTACTAATTACTACTACTACTACTACTACTACTACTACTACTACTGTTTTTATATCTTTATAGAGATCTAGTACTACTAGTACGACAAATAGTACTAGTACTACTACTACGAATGCGGAAACGAACACGACCTATATGACTGCTACGACTACGACTAATTAGGACTACGATTGCGACTACTGCCACTGCTACCACCACCGCGACAACGACCAACGACCGCGACCGCGACCGACTGCTAGCGCTACCACTACCAGTCACTACCACTACTACTACGACGACTACTGCCACCACTACTATCATGCTCCTATGTGGTACTACTGCATGCTGCTATTGCTGTTCTATGACTGCGGCCACTTTGGCCACTTGCTGCTGTCTATGCTAATGTGGTTTCTACTCTGTTGTCACTATTGAACACAGCCAGGACCCGGACGAAGGCCTCTCCTGTGGCCTTGCAGCGCCCTCGACGTGCTGTCCTTAAGGTAAATTGAGATTTTGGGGATGCCGGTCCGTGCAGGAACTGACCTCTCAACATGTCATCTTGCCCGGTGCACCCGCTGCATGTAGCTCCGTAGGCAAATCTGATTTTTCTTCATATCTTCATATACCACATCTGATCAGTTCTGGCAAAATAAGGCTTCGTTGTACTTCGCAATACAGTTGCAAAGCCTCGTTGACATCTTTCGAAGCTGACTTTTTGGTGAGTCCGGCTGACAGAGTCGGGTAAGCATTGGGCACGTACTCTGCACGAATCTTCTCCAGAAAGCAGGCGGCATGGGCCTTGGCCACCCGTCGACTCCTTTAACTACGAAGCCGACCGGCGTGATTGAAGGCCCGACCCACAGAAGCACCGATCTGCCTCCGGCATAGCCTCAAATCACGCAACAAGTCGCCAGGTGGACCAATTGCCAAAAGCTATGCTGCACCTGCTGCGTAACATAACCTTTACGGTAGCTCTTGAGTGACTGACGCATTGGGTCACCTCGTTTTAGAAGCGCACACTCCCTTGCACGCCTTGAACTCCGCAGCGCACGCTTCCCTTCTCGATGCTGCCCCCGCAGCTTCTGCCTCAAGCTGTCGTGATCCAGGATCAAGGGAGCCCTAGTAATTCCGCCTGATCCTCTGGGGGTTTCAAAAACATGCACCCATGGGCCCTGGGCCGCTAGCAAACTGATCGAGGTGTCTTGGCGTGCTCAACCATCACACGGGCTTTGGCACCGCCGCCTGATCAAACGGGGACATCACTGCATCTAAGGTGAACTGGCGCAGCCTGATTCATCGGCAGGTTTCTCACTTTCGGCAGCACCACCTTCGCAAGTGCAGGTGGACGCAGGGAAGCCCAGTGACAACCGAAGCTGCCCTGTTTGACAGCATTCACGTTCCGACCAAGCCTTCCGTTTCGCCGGTTGTCACTGCGCCGCCTTCGGCCTCAGCCACCGCCTTCTGTCCTCGAGCTCTGAAAACTTAGCTACGGCTATGGTGAGTAAGAGAAACATCGAACCAAGAAAGAAGCCGTCCTTCCGTGTAGACATTTGCTGAGCAGTCGCTTGCACCTGATGCACCTGGCAGAATGTGTTCATGCGAAGAATCTAAGACGGCTCAGATGTTGGATGCCTCAGCTTACCTTACGTCCTTCACAGACATCACTGACTGTAGTATGCTGCTTGATATTTTCACTGTGCCCCTCGGAGGTGAGCTCCATTGAGGCCCTGCTTTGCAGATGCAAAGAACACAAACACTTTCATGCAGCGCACGCAATTGCAAAGGCCAAGGCCTGCAGGAGAGCTTTCAGCGGCTTCAGCGGGACCCTTCTCCGTCTTGTCACCATCGGAAAGCCGAGCTTTTTTAGGAGGGCCTCTGCAGCGATTGAAATGGTCCCGGCCCTTCTCTTCCGCTTAAAAGCCCGGGCTTGGGACGCGGTAGCTTGTACTCATGCACAGTCGTTTGTGCAAGGAATCCTTTAGAATATCACCAGCTGCCCCAATGCAAACTCTCCTCGCCAAGAATTCTGGAAATGGCATGGCTGCTTCGTTAACTCTGGTACATTGTACATGTTAGGTCCACTTCCTTGCTGCTTGTAGTGCAGCTCGTAAGCCGGACCTTTGGAATACAGTAATTACCTACATCTACCCCAAAAGGCAGCTCCATCACAAATGATGTGAGGGTCTGTAGGTATCAATTATCAGATTCTTGATCCTTCCCCTGCCTGCTGCAGGCTTGTTCCGACTGGCCGGCCTGCAAGAGCCGGCGCGTAGGAAACACTAGCTTAGGTCACAAAGCAACCCCACTGTAGGATTTCTCATCGTAGCTCCTTGAGGCCTTTCTGATAAAGGCCCTGTGTCTGAACTCGCAAGAGAGGCCTGAGGGAAGAACACGAAGGCAAAGGCATGGGCCTCTTGGCTTTCTTTCGAGGCGATCCTCGGGATTCCTGGTAGTCCTTCAGTGGGCCAGGCTTTGTCAGCTCTACCTGGATGCGAGGTCTCCCTGACCTCATCTACGGTCTCCCGCACAAAGAACCCGTAGCCGCCAGGGGCCCGTCTGGCAGCACGGGCAGTTGTGGTTTAAAGAGTGACACGAAGACTGAAGACTGGAATGGGCTTCTGCGTGGCTGGCACATCGCAAGCAACCGTCCGAATGATCTGCACTTCCATGAGCAGTTTCGCTCGGTCCCGAGCATCCGTGATGCCAGAGGCACTGCCGGTGGACGACTGGGTTGTACCTTCAGCTGGTGCTTTGGTGAGCGTTTGAAAGCTTGAGAGGCAAAGAAGCATCCGGTTGTACGAGGCGCCGTGGCATCAGGCAAATTCGAACATTCTAGATCCCGGATTCAGGGCTTTAGACGATTCAGGTCGAGGGCTTATGCAGGCTTGGATGACATTTATTCTACTGAAGCGTTACTTTCACATGTCCTTCAGCACAGTCGCTCTCTTCACACAGCCTGGAATGCATCAATCTTGCACGCTTGCACGCTAGCCAGCAAGACGCCAGGCAATAGCCCGAACCTTTTAACACGAAACGCACGTAAAGTAAGAGAGGGGATTGCGAATCCCTTGTTCCAAGCAGTATTCGGATCATGACATGCAGCATGCAAGTGTGGAGTATGGTGGCCAGTGTCTAAGTGCCTGATGACCGAACGAGAAAGGCCAAAAGCTCCACTCTGAACACCGGCATTCAGTATGTTTGCAGAACTAGGCAAACAAATAACCGCTTTGAACAAAGCATGCTTGGAACAGTTGAATTGCTAGAGAATGCTAGAAAAGTGGCAGTACCCACTCTTCAAGCTAAGATTCAAGCTAGCTTAACTGGAGCTTTAGTCTAAGACTACCTGTGATGGAGCGGCGCATTTGCACAGTAGCACGGGACCTTGTAGCCGTACCCTGAATCTTTTTGGGCCTCATCAATTTGAGGTCGAGCCGGGCTGGAAGTTTGCAAGGCTCCCATTACATGTGTAAAAAACCGGCATGCTTTGGCACATCATGATCGACAATCACACACTTTACAGCCACCGTCTCTCGTTCTGCAACCCCGTACACGGATGTAGGCCTGTGCTTTCAAGCATGTAAACGCACCTTGCATCATACACATTTGCAATGCAATGTAACATGTCACGACAAATTACGCAACGAAAAGCAATGTGTAACATGATGTATTGTAAGATGCATGTATGTAGTAGGTACATATTTGTGTGTGCAACCTGTTGTGCATACAGCCATGTGGTTACTCCCGACTTGCTTGCTCTTGTGACTTCATGCACATGCAGCTTAAAGCATTGGGACATGTGATCACACTTCCGAGGTGGCCTGCTTGGGCATGTTCTCAACCACCAAGAACCCGTGCCTGCTGGCCAGCTGAGGACGCAACTCCGCATAGAGATAATTATACGACACTGGTGGCGTTTTTGGCCGGGAATGCTGGGAGGTTGGCTGTGCCACTGCGGCAGCACACCAAAAGAATTTGAGGGCATCACTTATCACCATCTTCGTCGATGAGAGCCTGGATACGAAGCACGACACACGGCCAATGGCATGAAGCTCGTGGCGAAAGGATGTATGCTTGACTCCGACTGGTAGGTTCCTCACTGGAGTGTCGGATGGCGTCCTGCTGTGGCTGTGACCAGCAGGTTTCGACGACTGAGGAATGAGTCGCGCCGTGGCCTGCCCGAGGCTTGGACAAACGTCGATGAGCCATCCTCGAAGGTGCTTGGCTTCTAGGAGAGAAGCGCGGACATAACTGCGAGTAGCGTGCCCAAAGCACGCATCCAATTGCAAATTGACTGAAACTGTCACCAGCGACGGCTGTAAAACAAAACGAGTTTAGGTGCACTGCGGGGAATAGCACTTTCAGCTTCGGCACCACCCCATGAACCTCCCAAGATCAAGCTTGGGCCTTTCTCGCTGGGGGAGCTTGAGGCCTCTTGAAACTGCCAGTAGAGAGGGTCACAAAGGTCGTCCTCCAGTCACACTCCGTGAAGCAGGAGCCTTTCTGACAGAGATTGGCTCCCAAGGACCTCGGAGGCCTGCGTCAATAGCCCCGTCCTCTGTGATGCTTCCCGCTCTGCGATCTCCGAAAGCGCATGGACCGTCAGCTCTCGCTGGCTCGGCTCCAGACAGATCTCCATCATCGAAGTTGATCGAGATCTTCGCTCACAGCTGAGATCATGTCAGACCGGACCCAGCTTTTCGAGAGTCACGGTCGTGCAAGAGCACGGATGCTGCAAGACGGACTGCGCTGTGCTCTCGCGCGCATGCTCAGGCCATGGCATACGTCCCCACCGTCAATGCTGAGAGACTTGAACTGGAAGGATCGAGCTCGCTCATTGCCTTCGCAGCACGGCCCGCGCACGACCGCACTTTAACCGTTTGAGACAGTTTGAGATCGCAAGAGATGGCCAAACGCAACGGTCTCTCCTGTCCCGCCTCGAGGTGGAGACTTGGCACGGAGGCTTCATGAGACACCAGGCTTGGGAAGCGTTCAGTGCTCAGCACTTGCAGCCGCTAAAATGCATGCTTAAGCTCCAACGTCCATGATGAGACGGGCATAATCGTGCATAGATCTTGTGTCGCTTGGGCTTATCCCGAGTCGTCCTGTCGCTGTGCTACAGCCATCAGTCTGCGGGGCCAAGCACACAAAATATTTCCAAGTGCTACAAGTTGACGACTTGAAGCTTGAACTCTGCCCAAGTGGAACCTTCCGGTTCCCACATGCATCCCGCTCCAACAGCCGTCTTCAGCGGGAAAGCGACGTGATGCTCTAGCACGCTCTCGGCATGAACAGGAAGTCAGGTGAGCCAACGTTCTGATGCCGGCATGCTCAGCTTGCCTTATGTACAACCACCACAGTACAGATGTCAGACGAACTTCAGCTTCAGATAAAGACTGCAAGGCATGAGATGGGCGCTTCTAGCTTCACAGGATTTCCGACCGAAGATCTGATGCTGGGTTCTCCTCATCCGGTGCTGTAGCTCCTCTGGAGCCAGGGGCACCAGGAAAGTCGCAAGAATCCGTGGTTCGATTTGCGACATGAGACTCTACCAACTCCAAAGCTGCTACAAGTTGCACCAACACTACTACGAGATGCTACGAGCTAGTCCGTGGCTCCGGCTCGTACTTGCCACTCAGTACTCTGTCGCTGTCGACTCTTGCACTTCGCAGCGGAAAGTCGTGTTCTCACCCGTCCTGAGTGTCTCTCTCCGGATCCTCACGTCTTCTTCCGAGCTTACTCACACAATCTCACACCGTCCCACCCTCCCTCCCTTCCTTCTTTGTTCCAGCCCCTTGAGTTGAGCTACAGCCGTACTACAGTACGAGCTCGTCAACATGAGGCTCTCGAAACACGCGCATTGCTCGCCGAGCAAGTCCCTCGCATCCGGCCATTTGGGTCCCGAAGCTCGGGGTCGCAGCCGTGACACTGGAATCCAACACCCCGCAGAGGATGGAAGAATTCCATCGGTGCCGCATCCAGAGAGTTTGGCAGTGAAATTGTCTCTTCTGCGGTGAAGCACATTCCAGACCAGACTTTAGGAAGAGTTCCAGCCGGTAACCTCGGAGCCACCAGACCCCTCGAAAATTCCCTGTCACTACGTAATCGAAGCTGAAAACAACTCAGGTGGGTCAGAGCAGAAATCATCCGCGCAAACTTGCAGCATCGCTCCCTGCAAAGGCCCCGGCCACTGCCACTGATCGACCACTAGACGTGCCTTGGACTCTTGGACTGTTCATGTCTGTACGTCCGGGTAACAAGGAGCGTGGAATGGAGCGATCTCTTCACAGCTTCGCTGGCACAACAAACAGATGGCATCATGTCATTCGGACTTCACGTCATAAACGACTGCAGGCGCGCGCGTTATCGTCATAGCCACCAAACAGCACAAAGGAGAAGTCAGAGATCCTGGATGCGATGTTATCTGCTTGTTCAAAGCTCGGTTGAAGCTGATTTCGTGAATTCGTCGCGCTCTCAGCCGCCCACGTGGGAGCAATGACGGCAGCAAACTGAGAGGACGACAACAACAAGCCATAGAACACCACTGACACCACGTCATGTGTAAAATTGGAGACGGCCTGCGCTCTGGCAGAGAATGGAGCTGTGGGTGCTATCTGCGTCCACTTGCCCCAATTCGAGAGATCCTGCAAGTGACCGCAAGGGCATGTCGTGATGCTGCGGGGCTCAGTTCAAAACAATGCGCCCCATCACACCAGTGCAAAGCCAACCTTGTTTCCACACCAAATGTCGTTGCGGGGGTTCGGGCGATCAGCTGGATCCTGCACTTAGAAGCCACGCAGGTAGACCGAAATGTCTGCATCTGCTGTTGAAGAAGCTCTTTTAAGAGTGTACGGCCGGCTGCACATCAAGCAACAGAAGGCTAAGCAAAACTCCAACATGGGTAAAGGTCCGGTTCTTTGCCGCGAATGACTTCACCTCATCAAGTCTTTCACTCTCATCGACTATGGAGATGAGTTATTTGCCTGGCCTAGCCGATTTCGGACGTCACTGCAGTTTTCCTACTGTCGTGGTTGGCACTTCCAAGCATCGTCACTGTACCCAAGTGCCAGCTTTGCCTGCTCAAAATGCTGAGACGGTTGCCGCTGTCTGGTTCCCCGCCAAATCCCCCAACAAGAAGGACCTTGCAGTCGACAGGTATCATTGCGCAGCAGACATGTATTAGCAAACAGTGACCGCATCGAATCTCTGCGGTGCAGGCTTCACGATCAATGTTGTTTTGGAAATTGCAAAGGGTTTCGGGGCCGAAGTTTTGTCGATGTGTCGGGGGCTGGGGGCTGTAGGTGTGGGGACTGGCCTCGGCTGGCGGAGCAGCGCTGGACTGGCTGGGGCTGCTCTGCTGTGCTGGGCTGTTGGCTATTTCCGTTTATGGCCGTGCAAATTTCTGGAAGGGGCGGGGGGCGGGGGTTCCCGGAAAAACACATCTGGTGTAAGCGAGGCTTGGCTTGCGGCCGTGTCTACGTCCGCGCTGCCTGGTGTAACGAAGCCCACCTTCAGCAAGAACGTCATGGGCTCATGTAGGCTTCCTTGCTGTGCATTTCTTCTCGGTTTATGCCTGGGGCTGCAACCAACCGATGACCATGCCGTGGGAACCAAGCAGCCTGTGGAGTAAGTTGCGTCCAGGTGCCCTGACAGAGCACGAGACACTCCGACATTTCTTCAGCAGGCACAGGGACAGCAAAGTCTTTGCTCAAGGATATAGCACAAAACAGAGCACCGCCTGCCACTGCACGCTGCAGAAGTCTCCCGAGTGCTGCCACACCCTCGGAAGCGAGGGTTGGTCTACAACTTGAGGCTTGTGGAAGACCGTTTTTCCTAGACTGAGTCTGCTTGCATGGTCTACTCGAACTGCGGTCATATTGGGATGGTATAAAGACCAGACATCGCACGACCTAGCAAGGTGTCACCACAGATCAACACCTTCAACATCTGCTCGAACATAGCCAAGCTGGCTTGTGATTCTGATTATACAGGCAAAAGTCAGGCTCCATGCGCCTTCTAATCCTAAGAAGCCTTCGCGTTGAAGATGCAGGCGTCGGCAGCCATGCCTCTCGTTTTGGTCCTTCCCGTGGCGACATCCAGGCCATGAAGCTACGAAGCTCGCAGCTTGCAAGCCGTGGTCCCTGGACAGAAACCATGAGGCTGACAGGACGCTGCCCGTAGCCTCGAACTGTGAAACTAGGAGAGCAAAGCGGACTTCAGTGAGACCAATGTTCGAGGATCTGGCCGCATGCTCTTCCAGCAAATTAATGTAGACCCCTGCTTAGTAAATCCGCCTCCCTTCGTGCACATTATTGCATGCATCCTACTGCTAGAGCCCTAACGCTGCAGCCTTACATTAAGGCGGGTTTATTTCAAAGGTCTACAAAACTAGTACTTCCGAACAAAACTTGAAAACGGATGTGAGCAAGCCTTGTTAAGACTTGTCTCAACTCAGGGGTTCAGAGTGCCCTTGTTGCTCAAGACGTTCAAGGGGACGTGGATGTACGCCTTGCCAGATGCGTCTGGTTCGGGCATGCGCCCCGCGCGAATGTTGAGCTGCACAGAGGGGATGAGGAGTTTTGGAACGGCCAGCTGGGCATCCCGGCTATCACCTACGACTGCTTTTAAACAAGCCACGCTCTACGCAACCAAGTAAAAAACCCTATGCCTATGCGTTGACATGAAAATGTACAGCCATCAAGAATCGAGGGTCGCATCGAGACAAAGTCGTCCTCAGTCTTGCCAGCTCCGATGTGCACATTGTTCCGACGCTGCTCACCTATGGTCGTCTCCCATGCGAACTCAGAGCGGGCACCCTTTGGCAAGTAGTCGTGGCCAACGAAGACGCGTGTGTCTGCTGGTAGGGCAAGGATCTTCTGGATCGACTTGTAAAGCGTTTTTGAGCAGCCTCCCGGGAAGTCGCAGCGTGCAGTGCCGTAGTCTGGCATGAAAAGCGTGTCGCCAGTAAACACGGTATCGCCAATGTAGTAGCAGACACATGCTGGCGTGTGACCTGGCGTGTGGAGGACGGTGGCTGTCATTCCTCCGATCTTGAATGTCTCCCCATCCTTGAAGAGCTTGTCGAACTGCGAGCCATCAGCCTTGAAGCTTGGTCCCAGGTCGAAGACACCTGCGACCGTCTCTTGGACGAGCCGGATGTTCTCTCCAATAGCGATCGGGATCTTGCCTCCCAGCTTCCCCTGAATGTAAGGTGCCGCTGAAAGGTGGTCTGCATGCGCATGGGTCTCTAACAGCCATTCCACCTCGAGCTCGTGTTTCTTGATGAAGTCGATGATTGTATCGGCGTGCTTGGTGCATGTGTTGCCCGAGGAGAAATCAAAACCCATCACCGTGTCAATCACTGCAACTTTGCGGCTACTTGGGTCTCGGACAACTGCAGAGACGGTATGAGTTTCCTCCTCGTAGAACACAGTCACATCAGGCCTCACGTGCTCAATCTCCTCGTCCTTCGAGGGCTGCCGCCCACTTTTACACAAACACAAGAAGTTCTGCAGAAATGCCATGGCGTCCTGGGGATCACTGCACAAAACCAGTCGGCCGAACCCTCTTTTTTTAGTGAAGGTCCTTGCAGAGCCGAGGGTCCCAACACCAGCTGCTGCGAAGGCCTATATTCCATCCTCAACGCAGGGAATGACAAGGGAACGAGAAATCTCGTCGAACTGCATGTGTGAGTGCGGCAACTGAACCTTCCATAGCTCGCAACTCCCCTGTTGATTGAAGCAGGGCACTATAGCTACCGGAACTTCAATGAAGAAATCCGTCCCTGTGTCATGTGCACTGTTGGTAGCAAAACCATTGCCGACACCAAGGAAGGCATACGAAGACGCTACAAGCTCAGCTTCACATTGGAAACGTCTCAAAAACTGGGAGCCCAACCAAACGTCATTCTCGTAGCCCAGGGAAGACCGACCTCCAAAGATCCGCATGCTTGCATGAGTATCCAAGCTTCTCTACATCAACCCCACCTTGGAAACAGCTCAACCGACACCTGCAGAGAAAGCCTCCTCTGCTACAGGCGTGCATCTGAAGTGTGCAGTGTGCTTTAGACGCTGGCAAGCTTGCACTATGCTTCGCCGACCTGCCGTTCTTCTTTCAAACGGAGATTGGAACCATGGGTAGCGAGGGGGTCATAAAAGAATGCACTTCGCTTGGCCGTATAGAGTTCCGACACTTGCGGGTAACCGGTTAACTTGATTGATTAATTAATAATTATGTGTTTGGCCACTGCGATGCACTTTTCACCTGTTTGGCCGAACAGGGTCATGAAAGGAATGTTGCTGCGCGCCTCCAGCAAGGATGACCTGAGAAATGAGAGGGGGGTTGGCACACTTGGCTGCCCGCTCTATGAGACTTAAATCTGAGCCAACGTGCAAGAAGCAATGCTGGGGTCTCTGCTCCACTCGCAGTCCACACTGCCCCGGGCTCCTGCAAATGGTCACGAATGCATGCTATATGGCAACCTCCACGAGACTAGACCGTGTCGCACAGAATCCAAGTTGACGAGAACCCCCTGGAGTGAGACATTACATTACATTCATTACATTTCTCTCGGTATAATATGCACATCACGCATGATGAGCGTGGGTCCGACCGCGGCGCCCAGGGAGCATCCCTTGGCAAGGCCACGGCAGTTGCTTTTTCGACCCTCTCTTGTCACGACTTTGCCCTCCCGACAGATATGCAAGCAGGCGGCAAAAGTTGTGCCCACTGCCCATAGATCGGAGAGCTTGTGCACCTTTGCTGCGGCCAACCACTCAACAACCAGCAGGACAGAAACAAGCGTCGCCGGCTGTTGGTCCATCCGTGCTTCAGGGCCACCGCCCAGAACTTTCGGATGTTCTGCCAGTTCTGGATTCAAGTCCCAAGGTCGGAGCTTGTAGCTGCACTCGAGACCAAACCTGGCATTTGTGACGTGTCGTGTGCGTGCATGGACTGGTAATGATGACTGTAATGATGCATCTAAATGATGCCAGACATTGGACATGTGCCCCATCCTGACCCACACTGGCAAAAGCTGGGACGGTTGGCTTTAGGTCCGGACCCGCCTTGCGGCTTCTAGCGGTTGCATGTCTTCGAGCAGGGTGCATTTCCTGGACGGGTATTCGAGATTTGCAAAAAGTCGGATGCTCTGCTGCACCGGAGAGCTCCAAGCTTCGAGCCTCAGACCTTTGGCTGGCACCCAAACTACCGGGGGACTATCAAGCAAACCGCGGTGCCAGCCAGTAAGGCAGACGACGATGCACCAGGAGTTCAAAACGCGAATGGCAATCAATGTTTACGTCGCGAAATCCCATTCTGTAGACCGTAGTGCTGACCGTCCTCACTTCGACAAAGCAGAGGCATGCAAAAGCCCACTTTGGCATTGGCGGATCCTTGGCGTCCAACGCCAGACGTCATTTAGAAGGCCGGGTTCTCCTGACATTCAACGGCCGAGTTGGAAAGCCAATGAACAAACCGACTTAAGCGACTGCGTGACAAAGCTTAAAACGTGATAGAAGGAGACCTCCACCACCGTCCAGTAGCACAACGCAAGTTGCATGGTGCCCGGGCCTACGCCGCCCATGAGAAGAATGTCCTCGGACAGAGGTGCCAGTTAAGAGTTCTGCTGCTTGCAAAGGAAGAAACAGCAGTGCAGAAATGCATGATGGGTCATCAGGAGTCAAGAGCTACTCCTACTGACTATGAGTATAGCATCGATAGACATCGGGCAACACTCGAGCATGAGTGCGTGCTGCGCCTGCCTGCCTGCCTGCCTGCCTGCCTGCCTGCCTGCCTGCCTGCTTGCTTAGATAACTCTGTATGTCGGCATGTATGTATGGGATCGTATGGGGTGACATGCAGGTAGATGGATGGATACACTCACGAGTATACACAGATACGCTTGATTAAGTGCTCAGACATATACACTCCCTCACTCACACCCTCCCTCACTTGTTCACTCGCAAGCACAAACACACTTCGCACTTGTTTCCGCTGCCCAGCAGGTCATACCTTTGCATAGCATGGCGCAGTCTCCATTTTGTACTCACGCAGAATCGATGACGTGCAGTTTATGCAGCATGCAATGATGTGTAGAAGCAGGGAATTTGCTTTGGCGAAAATTGGGCGCCTCGGCTTTCTCGAAAACACAAACAAACAAATCTCTCCTACTAGTGTAGTTGCCATGCTCGAGCTTATGCTTCTGTATGTGTGAGCAGGTGCCGTGAGAAAATCCACGCGCCGGAAATCATTTCAAACAGTTCAGAAGTTGGATGCATGCCTAAATCATGCTGAGGGCTTGGGGGCACTCTTTCCCAACTCCTGGATGCGTTACTGCAGACCTCATTCAGAGGTAGCTGCTTTCTCACGGAAAACTAACAGCCCTCGAAGATCTCATGAACGCGCTGTCGCTTTTCAAGGTTCCCAGCACCTAGCTCTATGACCCTATGACCCTCGGCTCAAGCCCAAAATGCCTCAGCCGCTTCTCGCGCTGTGCTCAGAGCATCAGCGTCCGTACCACGCGCAGCCCCTTGGGCAAAGGCCCTCAGCGCGAGTTGCAAAAGCGGCTGCAAAGCCAAAACACGACATACAGTGTACATTCTGAGGAAGGAAATCGGCAGAACAATCAATCTCGCAGGCGACTCAGGCGACTTCTGGACTAAGGCTGTCTATCATCGTCTATCACAAGATATCACAAGCATCATGCAGTAGGTGAAGAAACTACCCCGCGCAAAGTGCCATACCTGGTTCTGCACATTCACTCATATGGACAGGGGACGGTTTTCCGCCACCCTTGCCGCCAATGGCTGCAAGCGCCGCCTCTGCGGAGCAAAGACACGACTACGAATATCGCTGGGAGGACAGAGAACGGCAACCACGGCTGCCGGAAGGTGTGCCTGGACCCAGGCACCAGCTGGCTTCGAAGCCTGCCGGAATGGCTCCACAGAGTGCCAGATTCCAGGTGCTTCAATTAAATCTTGGGCAAGCTAGCAGCTAGACCACACACACAGACCGCACTCCCGATCTTCCATACCCCTTCACCGTGCTTGTTCAGCTCCTGGAGCGACGAGGGGACAGCTGCTAGGCAGTCAACTGCCCCGTCACCTTCGAAGACTGAAGGAAAGCTTTCTGACTTGAACGGACCCACCACAGCAAAAACTATCCAAAGGCCTCACCTGGACATTCTCTGCAATCGCTGTGAACTGAGCTGTCGAAATCTGTCGGATCTCCTGCCCAAGAGCCCGGCTCGGCTGGTTCAGCACCAGGACGGCCACAGACTGCATGTCTGGCTCAGCGGCAAGGTCACGCAGCATCTTGCCGTCAACACCTCAGCGAGCGCGAGTGGAGCATTCCCCTGCCATGTTCAAGTCCAAGTGCTTCAAGCAAACACACGCGGCATGCCTGAGCCGTCGAAGGTTGCGACGCAGAAGTCGGCGCCCGCGTCTTGTGCCGTTTCGATCGCCTGCCGGCAACCGAAGCCTTTTTCTTGCCGTCAGCCACTATCACACCTGCGCCATGCTCCAGGTGGGATCCCGGGCCTGTCGCAACTTGGCCAAAAAAGCCGCCTGCTCCTCCTTGCTGACCTTGCCCTTCTTCTTTTTCTTCTGTTGCTTCTTCAGCCTCGGCCAGGTCGGCTGGTGCGATATGCAGGACAAGTCATCGCAACGTGGAGCTCAAAAGGTGAAGGGAGGTGAAGGATCCTCCGAAGCGGAGTAGGAGAAGCAAAACAATCAATAGCCACCGCGACCCAGCTTAAATGCGAGCCAGGATTTTGCTAGGCTTGTTCAATTCCACCTTAAAACTCATTAACATGGAGCGTGGGACCCGCACTGGATCTGGACACCAACACTCTGTTTGAACACCCTTGCCCCTCGCAGCATCCTCAACTGCATTGTCGCTGCACGACCAGAGCCAGCTTTCACCTGCTAAAGCTCGAATGAAGCCGACTCGGATTTGCAAATACGTATGCATAAAATTCGTGCCACGACAATGAAGAGTCGCAGGCCCGATTTATTTTTATAGTGAAGCAACATACCTTGGTTGAACCCCCCAACAACGTCCTGTTCGCAGTTTGCACTGTTGGCTCCTTTTTTCACCGCAGCATCAGATGTCCGACGAACCCAACCTGAGCAGACAGCACGGATACGTACCGGGTACTCTCCAATGCCTGACCACCTTCAGCTACTGCATGCAAATGGCTACAGCCATACCTCTGTAGCGTGACGTTTGAAGCATCCGGCCCAAGCACATGCGGCTCCACTGTTGATACCAAGTTCCATACCAGTAGTAGACAGCAGCTATCGCCAAGAAACTTCAGCTTCTGCTGTAGACTCCGCGCGTACTCGCGCACTACAAAGCCTGTGCTGGCACATCGTGCGCGGTGAAGACGGACCTGAGTTCCAACGCGGCTTTGGCACAGCTGAGACGATATATGCACCGCCATGCCGCCAGGTCTCCGTTTCCGGCTGTCCGAGGCATCTTTTCACCACCAGTCCAGCGCCTCACAAGCCAACAGCACACGCATCCACTCGGCGGAATTGGGCGAAAGACCCAGTTCCAACACAGTGCCGTGAGAGTATGCCCGGAGCAGGTGTGCTACGTGATTGTACAAGTAAGAATGGCTCCGGCGGAAATGAAACCGCCAAATGTGTTGCAACTCAAGTCTAACGAGCAAAAGGTGATGCTGTCTTGGTTTGGAGCTTTGATTCGGTTCCCATGAGTGTTAGGAGAGATCTTTCGAGTCAAGTTGCTTCACACTTCAGTCTTGCTACCAGCTATGCCATCTCCAAACCTAGTTCACAACCAAGACCTGCCTTCGGGCCCCTCTCCAACGCGGAAGAGGACGGCGTTGCCTTGTCGAGGGGTGCAGCATTGCGTGCAGTCACAGGGAGCCCGCGTGAGTGCATCATGTGCCTGGTGTCAGGTCATAGCTGTCGGATAATGACGACAACGGAACTGGAATGTCAGGGCCTCAGCTGCAAACACAGGATTTTCCAGGACTGACAAATTCGCAGAAAGTCGTCCTCCTGTTGTTTGGCACTTGCACAGGCAATCACAGGCACAGGCCTATGCCAAGTAATGAGATCACGCCCGCTGACACGAGGTGGTTCCATGCCTGTAGGAGGGGTTGGCGAGGCAAGCATGCAAAGGAACATCCGACCGTGCCAAAGTCCAATCAGAGTGCTTTTCGTAACACAAGACTCCAGCCTTGACAACACCGAAGAGCATTTTACCTGGACAGCAAGTTCAAGGAGATCTAAGGAGAGCCTCGACAGATCTCGACAGCATGTCACGAACCGAAGCACATGGAAACAGACATGCAATCGCACTGGCTTTAGTCGAAAGGCCTTCAGGAATTTCATTTAGCGGCATTGGAGGGCGCTCGTGGTGGAAGCAAGCCAAGAGATTTCCTGCAAGGCCATCTGCGAGTTACACGTGCAGGTTTTGCCGGGTGCTCGAATCTCTTGCGCAGTCCTGGCCATCCCTCAGGTATTCTGAAAGTCAGATCTTCCACCGCCACTGTCGCTTCCTGTTGCACATGTCCGACAGTTGCTGAAAACGTTGCACTAAAGGGATTAGCCTAACATGGCGACGTACGATCCTCCACGCTGGACATGGTCACCACGGCCCGCACACCCGACGGGAGAAATCGTGCAGCGCGCACCTCGTTTGCCGTGCTGAACCAGGAGAGTTGAGAAAGGCTCTTGGCACCCTACTGGGTACCAGTAGCTTCTGCGGTCTGGGGCCATGACCGTCCCGAATCGCTCCAGAAGTGTTTTCAGCGCTTCCTCTGTCACGCCACGCGGCACGTTTGCCTGAAGGCGGATTCTTCAGGAGTCAACGCGCCGATACCACAATCGAGCTGTGCGGCATCCTAGTCCTAGTCTGCGCGTGTCTGCGCCAAGCTGCTAAGAGGACCTCAGTGGATGGGATCATGTCCACCTGGTCCTCACTGTTTGCAGGCTCCATCCGGGTCGAGTCGTCGTACTCCTCAGGCTTCGAAGGGTAGATGTTCCCGAGCTATTCGAATCCTGTCCGGGCCGTGCTGCCTACGATTCAACCTCCTTGCTGCCGGGGGTCGTGGATAAGCTCCTGCTGGACATCTTGGTGCAAGTATCCCAGCCACGCCATTGTTGCACAGTCCAAGTCCCAAGTTTCGCCAAAGTAGTCTAAGCCTGACTGCAGAAGCCCGCATTAGGGAAACTGCGGATCATGCGAACAGGTGGTCAGCACCTGGGTGTGGATCCTGTTGCCGAGGCAGCCACGACAGCCTTCAAGGTGGCAGCAGGTATTGCATGGTGGAGGCACAGGCAGGCGCTGCAACAGCCAGCAACGGCGCCGAGCATCAGTCCGGAGACGCACAACTCTCGTGACCAAGCAGCTGCAGCTGTGCTGCTGCCGGCTTTGCTGGCGGCGCAGACAGCTTCTCGGTCTTCTCTTCCGGAACACTTGGACTGTTCTGGTCCACCTAAGCTCAGGCCAACATATACTGACATGGCAAAAGTTCAGCCTCCAAGAAGCGATGACTTCAAACCGCTACCAGTGGCATGCGTGACAAGAGTGTACGCTGACACGCATCGCGGAAGCTTGAGGGTC